CCCCAAAACCCCAAAACCCCATGTGATGATGAGAGTAGTTACAAAGAATAAAATTAAATCATGCAAAATTTTATTATTATCAAAGTATTTATCTCTAGAAATAATGCAAAAGCTAAAAAAAAGGCAAGAGTAAAAAACATAAATATTGACTCATAATCAGCAGTTTTAAGACCTTGAAAATATTAGAAAGGTAATATAAAAGCAGAGCTAATATTTATCAGATTACAAAAAAGACTTTCAATGAGTTGAATCAGTATGTTTCTGATTAGAATGGAAAAGTCCCTGTTTTTGGCTATCCTCTCATTAACTATTCACCATTAGCAAGCGCAAAAGGCATCACATAAGATAGAATTAAAACAGATCCTATGGAAAAGATTAAATCTAACTGGAGAAAAATCACTAAAGATATTCTTTAAAGCAATGCATCACAGTTCTTATTGAAAGAAATGCTTGATAGCATGGATGAAATAGAATAAAAAGAGCAAGATTTGTAAGTATCGTCTATTAACTCGTTATAATAAGATTTTTATTGACGTCTTACATCTATAGGTTTGAGGCATTTGCAAAAGGCAGAAAAATTGGCTATAGTGAACTTGAAAAGTAGATGCTACAACACATTTCAAAAAGAATAGCTAAAAGTAGGGATTGATTAACGCAGGTATAAAAACCAGTCCAAGTGAAAAGCAATAAAAGAGAAAAGCCTAAAGTAAAGCAATTCAAAGGATCCTAATCACTCCTTAAGACTTCACCTTTGAGATTTTGTAAACTAATTTGCACGATTTTTTACTTAAATCTCATTAGACAACCAAATTGAGAAGAAGATAGAACAAGCGGAACAGGTCAGAGCTAATATTGAGGAGGGCGAACTTTCTAGATCCAGCATTGATATCTCAGAGATAGTAGATATTACATTTCACTAAGAAAAATCTTAAAAAAGATTGATAAAAAGAAGATCAGTAAGAATGGCAGGAAAGAACAATCGCAATTAATCATAAAATAATGAGCTTAGACTTGAAGATGATCACTCTCCTGACATATCGGATGATAACTACGCAAAGACTGCCTAAGCCAAGAAGTTTAAAGTAAAAGAGGATAACAAGAATAGATACAAAAGTAGAGATAGAACTTTGAAATCAACTGATGGACCAAAATCTTATCCCAGAGTTATTTAAACTCGTACTCCGGAAACCAACTCAAAAACTAAATTGCTCAAAGACTTCATAGAAATGAATGATTATATCACAACTGGAGTTGATTAGTAGGTGAATTAATCTTCAAGTGTCCAGAGAAAGTCTATGACTCTAAATAGAACCCATTTAAATGAAGCTAAAAAGAGAATGACATCTTCAATAAATAGCATTTAGAGACTTGATACCTTTTCTCCTAAGAAAATAAAAAATTTAGAGACAATCCATAAAACTAAAGATAGATAATCTTTGAATTTAATCTCTCCTCAAAATTTGACCCAAGAAATATTTAAGACTTACAGAAGAAAGCAAAGAAAGTTTTCAAAGGAAATTAAGGAACTCATAAACTCTCCATTACTTGACGAGAAGTATTAATCTGGATATGTTCATACAGAGCAGCCAAGATTACACAAATCATAAACAGTGAGAAATGGAAGAAGAGTAGTGAATTCAGCATACTAAAGACCTAAGATCTTCAGTAGAAATCTTGAGAGCTATATAGAAAGAATACTTCAGAAAGATAGCTCGCTAATAAAAGAATCACCTCATGCTCCAGAAAGTCATCACTAATTGGGAAATGAAAAATAAGACTAAAGAATTCTCAGATCATTTGATAGATACTCTTCATACTTCCCGCAAACTACAAACAAAAAGAGAAAAATGAGAAAGCATTAGCACTCAGATTTGGAATCTGTTTATTAGCCTATTCTCTTATAGGAAAATCAATCTACTCAGCAAAACTCAGTTAGAGCATCCTAGCAGTATCACTATCCCCAATAGAACATTGGAATGAACTCGACTACTAATCACGAGCATAGCTCTAATTTCAAGCTTTCAACTAATACTTCAGCTGAGACATACTGCAATCTATTTAAGCAGACTAATATCAAACTTGCAATAAATTTCAAAAACACTGATTAAACCAATCAGAATAAGTATCAATAGCAAAATAACAGCAGAAAATCATAGAATTCTAAAGGTTTATTAAATAAGTCACAAGTGCTTACCAATATTAATCCTATTTTCATAATCAAATCCTGATTTTGAGAACTAACTAAGTAAATATATATGTTTTTATCAGATCTAAATGATCATTCAAGTTTTTATTAAAAAATTTTGTAACAATCGAAGTTTTTATTTATTAATTCATTTTCGGGGTTTTGGGGTTTTGGGGTTTTGGGGTTTTGGGG